CCCCCGATGAGGGAGCTGAGGTGACTTCTTCCATATCTCCCCTAGGTCTCATTTGGCTCCAAGGACCGGACTTGTCCCATGCCCACGGGCCCATGGTTGCCTTGACAGGTTGACTCCTTGAAACCGTTCTTCTTGGCCTCTGTGCAAATTAAGGCAGTAAAACGTCACTTCCCCAACAGATCTGCTTGTAAAATAATGTGCATGCCTATAAGGAGCCGGACTTACACTGGAGGAGATGGAAAAGATACTAAGAAGAATGAGCAGCCACCATATGCCAGGATGGGCAGGGGCTTCCATACGTATTACTGCCATCAGTTTAAGATACCAAGTAGAATTCTCACCACCTTAGGCCAAAAGCAAGCGGCCAGAGGCTCTGCCATGTTAGGTCTTCATGACAGAAGGTACCGCTTCACAGTGAGTCACACCAAATAACAGTGACAACTCGGTGTGGGAAGACATAAATGGGGTCAGCACTACCATGAGGCCTCCTTTCCACAAGCCACACGCCACCTCCAGATCCGTCAGAGCTGTGCTCTCACCACTCACTTCACATCCTTTCTTGCCCATCTGTCCTTTCTGATGTAACCCACTGGTAAGTCCCCTTCCTATATCTCACCCATCATGAGGTCCTGACATCTCGCTGAAGCCTAACTGAGCATCCGCATCCTCACCCGCCTACCTCTTTTTCTCATCCTCCGATACCCAACTGGGTGTCACCTCCTCCAGGAAGTTCTCCAGGATCCCCCCACCCCAGGTTCACCTAAGAGCCCCATTGCCCTCCCTGAGCTTCCCTGGTTATTCCAGAGGTTCACAGTGGGACCAGAAGGGAAAGGGTGGGGGCAGGAAAGACTCCAGCCTGAGTCAGGGAAGTCCCAGTGCACCAGGGAAATGCCCCCAGAGGAAGAACAGGAACCTGAGGCCCCCAACCAGAGAGGATGCTCCTTGTCCCCTGGCCTCAGATGGCCCTTCCCTTTGTTCACTTCCAGGTGGTGGGCTGGTTCCAAACACCAGTTAGACAAAAGTGCTGAGTGCTGGAGGGGAGAGGGTGGCATTAAGACACAGATGAAAGCCAGCCTCCAGGTCTGGGAGCTTACAGCCTCAAGGAGGGTGAGACTTGCATCAAACAACCCAGTCCTGCTACAGAAGGGACCCAGGAGAGGTCCGAAGGAGGGGGCACCTCCAGCCTTGGGAGGTCGGGGGAAGCTTTAGGAGGAACTAGAATGGGCATTGCGCCTGCAAGGATGTATTTAATATGAGGGAGGGGCAGGGAGATTGGGCCAAGTAGGCGAGTGAGGGTGGACTGGGCATGCTATGAGACCAGGCCTGAGGAGTGGCAAATGTGAATCCCTGGGAATCAGGAGGACATTCTGCAGGTGCAGGGAAGAGATTAGAGCACAGAGCCAGTTCCTTGCTTCAGGCCTTAGTCCTCCCCTCCCAGGAACCTCAGCAGATGCCAAATATAGAGAGTGCACTTTGGCAAGCTGTCCCCTAAAAGTCCCCATTTGTGAATTTTTGAAGGACCCCGTGTCCTCCATCAATTCCCAGCTGATGTTCCAAGAGGCTCCCTCTCTGTCCTGGCCTTTAAAGATGCAAACACGTCATCAAAAACAATAACCCCTCAGAACATTCCAGGACCTGGTGCTCACATCATAGCCACTCAGAGAGGCTGGTGCACCCGTGCCACCAAGTTTTCTGGGGGTCTGTGCAAAGAACCTAACCGCCTGACCTGGTATGTCCCCCTGATGGCCCGTGTGGGTTGCCATCGCCCTGATCCCCTCCTGTTTCTGTGACACATCACCCAGTCAGCTGGAAGTTCAGCTCAGCTCTCTCCACTGGGCAAATCAGAGCTGGGCTCAGTATGAAGGCTGGCTCCTGGGCAAGCAGGGGTGCTTTGAGGCCGCAGATGAGAAAGTGATGACCTTGGCAGTACTTTGGTCAGGGCCTGCCCAAGGCCACCAGACTCTGACCTCTGGTGAGCCCACCATGCCAGGGCATGGGGTTCATATGTTCTGCTCTCAGTGATTTATGTTCCAACCAGAAAAGATCCACGAGTCCAACACAGATCTGCACATGTGCATACACACATAAGTGCACACATACAAAGGCAAAGGGGAGAATGGCCACGGGCTGAAGTCAGCACTTACAAGAGACCTCAAGTGGGTGCTTTCCCCTTTTGTGGCCCACCAGGCTCTGTTCGAAGCACACAGAGACACAAATACATAGGTGATTGACAGACTGGTAGGCACAGATGCATAGTATCTCATTTCAACCTCCCAGCAATCTTGCCAGGTAAGTAAGGTTTTTTGTTTGTGTTTGCCTCCTGAGTAGCTGGGATTACAGGTGTGCGCTACCACGCCAGGCTAATTTTTGTATTTTTAGTAGAAATGGGGTTTCACCATGTTGGAGAGGCTGGTCTCAAACTCCTGACCTCAAGTGACCCACCCACCTCGGCCTCCCAAAATGCTGGGATTACAGGCATGAACCACCGCGCCCAGCCAAAGTAAGTAGGTTTAATGCCATCTTTTAGATGAGGAAGTTGAGGCTCAAAAAGGTAAGAAGCTGGCTGAAGGCCAGGCAAGCAGTGACGCTGTGCTTTGAACATGCCATTGCCCATGCTTCCCTAGGGCTCCTCACATGCTTATTAGGCCTGGGAGCAGGGTGGGGACTTGTTTTTCTGGAACCTCTTTCAATCCGAGCTTCCCCTTGTTTACAAGGGTGGGGGCAACGGAGACTCACAGACAGGCACAGACACACAGCCCAGCAGCAGAGTCAGGACAAGAAGCCAGGTCTCCTGACAGCCCAGCTATACCATGGGACCTCCAAAGTAGAGGCCCCTGTGATACACCTCCATAAGGCCAAACCCTGTCCTGCCACTGAAATGGGCACCACCTGGACCTCATCCCTTAGCATCCCAGAGCAGGCAGCAAGCCCAGCTCCCTCTTCAACTTGCACAAAGATGAGCTTAGGTGCATGATGAAATTTCACCAGAACCCTTTCCTCAGGGGAAACTTGTCTGCGGTGACACCTTACCAGAATACCCTTCAACATGTCTAAAACAGGAGGCCAGTCTCACCCTGTTTGCATGCTGAGGACGAGGACCCAATCAATTCCCATAACGATGTCAGGGGCTAGGTGGCTCCCACCTCCCAAAGCTGATCCCTAACCAGGCCTCCCGCAATCCCCAGCTACGTATGTGTTTTATGTGGAAATCTCATAAAAACAGATTGCCAGCTTCTCTTGAAAACACCCTTCTGGTCTCCGCAGGCCCACTTTCACACAGAGCACCTGAGGGACAAACTCTCTGTTCACCCCTACGGCCTCCGACATGGAGGCTGAGTTCTGGCTGCTCTTGACTGCTGCTCTCGCGGCTGGGCCTCCTCCTGCTGGTGCAGCAAGCTCTGCTCCAGGCCCTGTTCTAAGCACAGTGCCTACCAATGCACAACCTCCTGAGACCCCTCCTCCCCAGGCTTGCTGTGCAGGGCAGGACACCAACAGGAGGATAAGGTGGAAGGCTGGCCTGGAGGGGTCTGGCCGTCAAAAAGGTCACCCCATCACTGGTCTCAAGATACAGCTACTCTGGTCACACCTGAGGTTTCCTAAAAGGTGACATTCCCCCACAACCAAGCCAAATGCTAACAGACATCAGGTCCAACGCTCCTTGTTAACACTTCCAGACAAGGACAACCAAGAAAATCATTAGGTGAGCCAAGAGAAGAAAAACAATGTCTTTTCTTTTTTAAACTAACTCCGAAATTCTCCCTCAGAATAAATCCATCCAAACCGATAACAGAAACATCACTTAAACTTCGCGTAAAGAATATGACTGCTTTAGAAATAACGCTATATCCAAAATAAAAACTGTAAACTAAGACCAATCCTCTAAAACCGGAACATACACTTTGGACGAAATTTACTTGCAAGTTTCCTTAAAGGACCTTTAAGACGGAGGTGTAGTACCAACTCCTAATGAAATACATTTGAAATGTTTACAACTGCACACACCCTAAGACCTCATATGGTGTTTCCAGAGAACTCACATGGTTGGATGGGATTCCCCAGCCGAGGCGTGCAGCCTGCAACTTCGAAGTCCTCTGGAATGGACCAGGGTCTTATGAAGCCATTAGCATAACCAGTAAGCAGGCAAAGTTAATTACAAGGTTTATTACAGATCAGAGAGCGCTGATATCTAAAGCAGCTGTTTCTAATAAATTCGTGTTAAGTGAAATTCACCGCCTCTGTGTCTTTTAGGTCTACAAGGTTAAAGAATCCTAATTTTCCCCAGAGTTTCAGATGTTAACAGAAACACTCATCAAGGTAAATACAGTCAAGTTTCACTGACGCAAAATTTCCAGTAAAGAAGGTTTCAAGCATCAGAAATTGCAGGCAAGAGCTTAGAGAGTTTGCAAGGCCTCCATTTAAGACAGCTAAGGTTTTCCCCCATGCTAGGAAGGGCCCTTGGGCTTGTGAGCCTGCACACCCCAGGGCGGTCATTCAGGATCACCACGGGAGCGGGAGGGGGTGTTGCTCAAACCAGGCGGCCACTAGGAGAATCATGCACTGAGCAAAGCCGACACCACTGGTGGCCCCAGGACGAGGCCCTTGTGGGCAAATCAGCGACTGTACAGGGGCTCCAGGGGCCTGCCGGCCCCAGGCCAACTCTGGGGAAGAAGAGGTAGATAGGTGGATTAAACACCGACCGCCGCTTCCCCCTTCTTTTCATAAAGATATAGATTATATTTCGTTTTCTTTTTGCATAGATTAGACGGACAAGTATCTAGCCGCAGCCCCCTCTCCAAAATGCCCCGCGCGTGAAGCGAGCTGGGAGCGCACGCCGGCGGGGTGCGGGGACAGGGGTTCCCCGAGGCTCCCCGCGCTCCCCACGCCGCGAGGGAGTGACATCAGAGGCTCGCGTGGATCGATCACTCAGCAAAGCCCGGCACCGGGCGTGCATGCGCGGGAAGCCTGGCCTCCCTCCGGGTGGAAGCCCGGCAAGCACTAACCCTTCTTAAATTTACTCAGGCAGCCGGAGCTGCAGAAGGAGCGCAGGGAGGCCGTGTCCCAGCAGCCGCGTCCCTTCATTCCCGCGGCGGGGCAGCCTCCGATCGGCGGGGCGCTACATGGCGCCGGGTCCCGGGGGCTTGCACGGACGCGTGCACAGCTCGGTGGGCCGCCCGGCGGAGGCGGCGGGCACTCGTGGGTCCCGGCGCCGCGTTACCACAATGCACCACTGCCGCCCGCCACCCGGTGCACGAACGCGTTAACCCCGTCCGCGCCGCGGGAGCCGAGCCCAGCCTGAGCGGCGGTGCAGCCTCCCACTTCCTCCCGCCCCAGGAGCAGTGCCTCGTCCCGCGTCGCCTGCTGCTCCGCGCGACCCCGCGGACGCCCGTGCAGGCTCCCCACTTCAATGTCACATTTTAATACTGTCCCCTGCAGCAACAAGCCCGGCGTTGCTTTATTTCAAAGGGCAAAGATGCCCTTGAGAGCTAAGGGGCACGTGGGAAATGGGGATGGCCAGGGGCCTGACGGTGATTCCAGGAAATCGGGGTCACCTCTGAGACCTGCTCATCTTCTGACCCCGCTGCGGTGGCTGGTGCACCTGTGTCTGGCCACCTGCAGCCACCTGGCCACCATGCGGGAAGAAAGCAATAGGCAGGGCCCGGGGGAGCTGGGTTCCCTCAACGCTGCTGCCACAGCAGGCTTCTGGTCATAACGTCTGTATTTGCCCAGGCCTTTGAACACAACTCCCCCGTCCAGCTGCCCACAGGTATAACCAGTAAGCAGGCAAAGTTAATTACAAGGTTTATTACAGATAACCAGCAAGCAGGCAAAGTTAATTACAAGGTTTATTACAGATCAGAGAGCGCTGATTTCTAAAGGAGCTGTTTCTAATAAATTCGTGTTAAGTGAAATTAACTGCCTCTGTGTCTTTTAGGTCTACAAGGTTAAAGAATCCTAATTCTCCCCAGAGTTTCAGATGTTAACAGAAACACTCAACAAGGTAAATACAGCCAAGTTTCACTCAGGCAAAATTTCCAGTAAAGAAGCGCCCACCGCCTCCCCGGGGCAGCCCACCGAAATCTCCGTAGGATGTGTGATGGGCGTCAGAAACCCAACTGTTCAAATCTGAGCTTCCCTAATCCCGCACCCCCGTCCCCCATTTGTACCACACCCTTCCTCAACCCTCCCCACCTTAGCTAGTGACATCGTTCAGGTCAGAAACCCTGGAGTCATCTGTAACTTCTCTGTCTCTTAGATCCACATCCAGTTGGTCAGGCCATCATGATGGCGGTACCGGTAGAATACAGCCAGGATCCCTTGACTCTCACCACCTGCATGCTGTTTCTGGGACCTAAGATGCCCTCACCTTGCCTGTGGACTCTTACACAGCCTCCCTACAAGTGTCCCTGCTCCCACTCTGGTCCCCACAGTCTCCGCACAATGTAACAGCTGAGAGATCCTGCTCACCTATGTCAGATGCTGACACTCTCCCGCTCAGAGGTCTTCAGCTCCACACATGGGCCTGCCCCACTCCTCTGCTGAGGCTCCTACTTCACTCTGCCCTGTTTATGTCTCATCTTTCCCACTGGACTACAGGTTCTGGGCCCTGGGACTGAGTTTTAACCACTGTTTCGTCTCCAGCAGAACCCTACCTAACTGTGCCACCTTGCAGTAGCTCAAGCAAAGGAATGGATCAAATGTAATTTACCGAAACGGAATCCATTTTCACCAATTTAAAGCTTTTTCAAATACACATCAAATCTCCTGTTTTAACATCTAATAGACTCAGGGAAGGTGGTGCTGGGTCAATAATTCCCATCCAGGCCTTTGAAGCAACTGAGTACTTCTTTCACCCAGAGAATTAATCCTTAACAATTGAGTTAGATTCACTGGCCCGGGGGGTTAGAAGGCATTTAGCCATTCTGGGCCTTGGTTTTCTGGCTGCAAAATGAAGAGCACCACGTGATGGAAATGGTCGCAGTGATGGAGTGTTGAGAACACCAGGCTGCATGCTTGACTTGCATTTCCTCGTTTCATTCTCACAGAAAAGGCTTGTTTGGTAAATTCCACCAACGCCCTCTTTTACAGATGAGGAGATTAAGGCTCTGAGGTCAGGTGACTTGCCCAGGGTCACCAGGCTTGGAACTGGCCTGGTCTGGCTGATCTCGGAGGCCACACTCAGAGAACAATGCTCTGCAGGATCCCTTACAGAGACTACTGCTCCTTGGGCTCCCAGAGGCCTCATGAGAAAAAATGTGGAAGTCTGGAATAGTGTTTTGGTTTCTTTTTAATTTTTAAATTATTATTATTATTATTATTATTATTATTTTAGAGATGGGGTCTTACTCTGTCACCCAGGCTGGAGTACAGTGGCAGCATCATAGCTCACTGCAGACCCGAACTCCTGGGCTCAAGCAATCCTCCTGCCTCAGCCTCCTGAGTAGCTGAAACTACTGGGACACACCACCGTGTCCAGCTAATTTTTACTTATTTTTATTTTTTGTAGAGACAAAGTTCTCACTTTGTTGCCTAGGCTGGGCTGGAACTCCCAGCTTCAAGCAGTCCTCCTGCCTCAGCCTCCCAAAATGCTGGGATTATGGGTGTGAGCCACTGGGTTCGGTCGGAGCAGTGTTTTGAATGTTTTGGGGAAACATTCAGAAACATACACGCAATTTGTGTTTAAGGACTTGCAAGAATAAATCCAACCCAAGGTATTTAACCAGGCATTATGAGTATTGTGGAATCTGAAATCTGGAGGACTCTCTAATGTAGAACTGTGCCTTCTGTCCTAGAGGCTGAAGAAGAGGAGGGCAGAGGAGCTGAGTGCCACGTGCCACCCTCACTGCTAGTGAACCCTGGCCCTCTTAGCCCCGCTGTCTATTCACCCTCATCCAGAGCCACGCCTGGCTTACAGCTGGGTAATTGAGAAGAAAGAGAACAAAACATACCCCGGAACAAAAGGAAAATGGTACGAAAAAATATTTTTAAAAAATCATGTGGCCCCACTAAAGCAAACACACACACTATTTCTCTTTTCTATGTAATTATTTTACACTATAAGTCACAATAAAAAAAACTCTCAGATTCTGCTCATGTGAAATACTGAAAAATCTACAGCTAGCTGAACAGGCAGCCAGAAGGGTACCAACTTGTCCTTAAAGAAAATATACTAGCTGCAAAGCCTTAGTTGAATTAGTTTGTCAAGGAAGCTGAAGAGACTGAGCCTAAGATGACTGATGGATTCTTCTAACAGCTCCACTGACTGCCCTGAATCCTGTCACAAAGTTTCCCTCATATAACCGTATGGGTGAGGCTGAACCCCAGCCCTGCTCCCGTGAGCCATCTACACTCACCCATCATGGGTGTCTTTTTTCAGTCTCCCTCTGTCATCCAGGCTGGAGTCCAGTGGCATGATCTCTGCTCACTGTAACCTCTGCCTCCCGGGTTCAAGCCATTCTCCAGCCTCAGTCTCCCGAGTAGCTAAAATTATAGACACGCACCAACACGCCCAGCTAATTTTTGTAGTTTTGGTAGAGACGGGGTTTCACCATGTTGACCAGGCTGGTCTCAAACTCCTGACCTCAGGTGATCCACCCACCTTGGCCTCCCAAAGTGCTGGGATTACAGGTGTGAGCCACGGCACCCAGCCCATGGGTGTCTTTTGAACAGATCTAGGTTCAGGCCTCCAGCCCTCTTCTTTGTGACCTCCTAAAACCAAGTGCACCAACTCTGAAACCTTCCTGAGGTTCACTTACCCCAGATATCCTGTGCTGGCAATTCCGGAGGCAGCTGCAACCCTCCAAACTCCTATCTGACCTCACATCAAACTGGTTGCTCTGCTCACTTCGAACTCTTTGCTTTCCTTCCATGTCTACAGTTACCACTTTCCTTGTCACACCCCACCTGGCCTGCTGCTGCCGCAGCAGCCTCCCTAGAAGCTGGCCTCCTACTTCCACTTGCTACCAGAACATTACTAATCAGAATCAGTAATGAGGGGCTGATTCCTCTATGTTCCTTCCTTTGCTCAACAATGTGGCACACACACACTCAACAAATAATATTCATATTGATGTGTGTGTGTGTGTGTATCTATTATTCATCCCAGTGCTGGATAGAGGCAACAGAGAGGTATGTCCCCCAGGCACTCATGGCAGCCCCAGAAACTACTGCAAGGCCTCAGGGACAACATGCTAGTACATTAAGAATTGCAAGCACATCCACACCCTACAGCCCAGAACGGTGAACTGGATTCATCACAAGTGCAAAAAGTTCTGCACCCAATGCCATCTGTTGCAAAAATGAAGCAACCTAACTCTAACAGCAGGTGAATTTCATCAACTCTATTTCATCAACTTCATGGAATATCAGGAAGCCATTTAGATTTATTTATCTATTAGAAGCCGTTTATATAGGTGACAATGTCAGGGAAATAAGAAACCACGCTAAAAAAACAAAATGCTGAAAGGAAAAGAGCAAATCACACAACATATTTGTAACTCTATGAAAAGTATGCATATAGCAACATGTGAAAACAGTAGGATTGGCTGGGCATGGTAGCTCATGCCTGTAATCCCAGCACTTTGGGAGGCCGAGACGAGCAGATTGTTTAGCCTAGGAGTTCGAGACCAGCCTGGGCAACATGGCAAAACTCCATCTCTGTAAAAATATTTTAAAAATTAGCTGGGCATAGTGGTGGATGCCTGTAGTCCCAGCTACTTGGGAGGCTGAGGTGGGAGGATTGCTTGATCCTGGGGAGGTCGAGGCTGCAGTGAGCTAAGATCAAATCACTGCACTCAATTGAGCCTGGGTGACCCTGTCTCAAAACAAACAAAAAACCCAGTAGGATCACAGGTGAATTTCCTCAAGTCTGAGCTTCCTGAGTGCCCTGAGCTTTCTTTCCCAGGACCTAGCACACTCACTATAGATTCCTATTTACTTGTCTGTCTCCCACATCAGACTTGGAACTCCTTCAGGGCAGAGTCAGAGGCCTTTTCTCACTATTCTCAGCCTCCAATGTGGGTCTAGCACATGGTAGGTGCAAGGGAATGAATAAATCAATCGAACTGCTCCATGAAAGCAACATAATCACTCATCAGGAGACCTTTTAGCTCCAGCCTATCAAATCACATCACCCCCGTCTTCCCAAGCCTTCCATCACTGTTCCCTCCTGTCTGCATTTCCGGTGCATTCCTCCTCACAACCCCCTTTCCCCTTTGCACCCCTGCCTCTCCCTTGATGGGACCACATAGATGCCAGCACCAGCTTAGGAATCCCATGGGAGCAAGATCCAATGGTGGCCTCCTGACCCAAGTTGGCCACAGCCCTCAACTGCTATGGGACCTGGGGATCTTTGGCTTCCCCCGCCTGGCCTTGGGCTCATCACTAATGAGGGGCTGGGGCCCACAGGGGAGAAGCAACGACCTTCTCTGTGCTTCTCTGGAGAATCAGGTTCTCCAAGGGTTTGTGAAGCATACATGGTCCTTGTGGGGATATCTTAAGAATGAAGCCCTTTAAAGCAGCAGTGTTCTAAGAATAGCCATTCTTAGATGCTGACTGCCATCCTCATTAATAAATGATTCTGCACTGAAGCCAACGAATTAATTTGAGAGCAATTTGTGATAATGTGTTGCTAGGCAATTAAAAAACTTCCAAGGGAAAAAACTTTCCATTTATCATCGATTATTTTAGATCAGAAAAATGAAATGGGGCTGGGTGCGGTGGCTCATGGCTGGAATCCCAGCACTTTGGGAGGCTGAGGCGGCTGGATCACTTGAGGTCAGGAGTTCAAGATCAGCCTGACCAACATGGTAAAACCCCATCTCTACTAAAAATACAAACATTAGCCGGGTGTGGTGTATGCACCTGTAATCCCAGGTACTTGGGAGGCAGAGGCAGCAGAATTGCTTGAACTGGGAGGCAGAGGTTGCAGTGAGCCGAGATCACGCCACTGCACTCCCGCCAGGGCAACAGAGTAAGATTGTCTTAATAAAAATAAATAAATAAATAAATAAATAAATAAATAAATAAATAAATAAATAAAAAGAATGAGGGAGAGGGCACCGAGGGCACCATTCAGTTTGAAAAAAGGGAAAAGCTAGGGGTGGTGCCTAGGCCTTACTGTCCACACACGCCCTCTGCTGGTAGGGGCAACAGGAGAGACAAAGGCCGCCTCTCTGGGAGCTGAGCCTGGACGGTTTTGCCCTGGATCCAGCACGTGGTTTCACTGGCATCCCTGCATGTGCATTTGGAAAGGGTGGCCTGCCGGTGGGTCAGGCTACCTGGAGGACCTGGATGGAGAGTTGGGATCAGTCCCGCCAGCTGGCTCTGAGGAGATCAGCTTCTTCTCAGGCCCATTCTATTGCTATGTCAGTTATTGACCAAGAGCCCTTTTGCTTGTTTAGGTCTAAATACTACTTTCACTGATAGATACCTCAAGATAATAACAGCACTGGAATTCCCAAGGGATGACTGTCCATTTGTTTCATCTTCAATGATTCTTTTTAAAAAATAAAAGTGACACCAAAAGGAATTGAAAATACAAATCTATTGAATCTATTATAGAATGTTCCTCCTTTGTTGGTTCTTAAAGCAACACCAATTAAAGCAGCCTTGGCATATCGTTATACTAAAATTGTCAAAAGTATATTTAATTATTTACAGCAAATGCCAGTGAGATTACAGTGCAGCTGGCATGTTCACTTGTTGGTGGCATGCAACATTGGCACGCTAGTTGCATAATGTGATATTTTAGTTCATCAAGGTGCCATGGTGCTGCTGCAGCCCTTAACTCAGTAATCTGACTCCTGGAAATTTTCCCTCAGGAAATAATTCGAGAGAAGCAAAAAGCTTTCTGTACAAAGATATTTACTGCATCATTATCTGTAATAGCACAAATGGGAAACTCAAATGCTCGACAGCTGTAATGATTCAAAATATTAGAGTATGGCAACTCAGCGGAATATTACACAGCCATTAAAATGAGCATTAAAAGGTAGGAGATGGCCTTTTGGGCTAAGAAATTTTTTAAAAAAAGAAAAAAAGAGAAAGATAGAAACTGTTAGCTATAATGTGCGGTGAAAAGGGAAGCGCATGAAGGGCCACGTTTAATATGATGACAAACACGGGAAATACAAGCGTATGTCCCAAGGGGAGATGCAAGGTAACATGCAAACATCAAGAACAGCTTTGTGAGGGAGTCCGATTACTGGGGAATTTCCTGCATTGCAAATGCTCTATCACACCATGCAGTCTTTCCCGCTGCAACAGTAAAAATGTAACAAGCTATAATACA